AGCCATACTGCTCCACTTGTGAAAATCTGTTGGGCTCTTTTTGGCATCAAGACAATTATTCTTATTGCCAGACAGGATACTGTTATAAAAATAAAATAAAGTAAATAAATAAAAATTACAGGGAACAAGAGTTGCTTTAAGTTCAGAGTGTAGTGAAGTTGTGCATAGAACCTATAGTTAATGACCTCATGTGTTTTATCTGTTGTATAGGGGAAACAGCGCCCCCTATCGTCGCCTGATAGTGGCAGAATAAGGTCTAGTCAGCAATATGAACTAGTGGGAAGATTTTCAGTTTTCTATTTGTGGCTAACTTTGTGTTTTATAACCGGAAACAGGAATTTAAGTTCCCCAACTCAACTGTTTTAAAGAAAATGTCTCCAAACCTCGGTTTATGAGCCATGCATCAAATTGAAGAGTGTTTCTGGGTAGTAAATATGACGATGCAATTAGCAGAGCCTGTAGGGATCATGTGTGTTACCTGTGTAAGTATGGCGTCATAGAGTTTGCATGCCTCGTTGCTGCTGGTGGACAGTGGAAGAGCCTCGTCCTTCCACGCCTGCAGAGCAGATAAGAAAACTACGCAACATTTACACATAAAACATTTCGTGAACCAAAGGTTATTTCAGTAATAAAACTTAGTTCCTTGCCTTACTGCCATTTGGCTTTATTCTTTCCGTCAGCAAAACAAGCAATAAATAAATGAAAACTTATCAAATTCTGTTGATTTAAATTTGACGTGGCTGAACGCAGGTTGATTTCACAGCGAACTGTCTCAGAGGGATTTATTTTTATTTTTTCCCTGCAGTTCCCGTTATTAGCACTCACCTGACAGTCTCTGAGACTTGGCCCGCTCATAATGTTCAGCCTGTAGAGGAGAAACACTTTAGCGCCTCTGAAAGCTCCTAACTCCGCAGGCTCTTAATCGGAAGTCAACTCCGGCTTGATTCCCTTTCACAATAAAAGCACCGATAAACTTTTAAAATTGGATTAGCAGCTGCCCGCTGCTAGTTCAATAAAGTTCAATAAACACCAATAGATTATAAATCCACTACATATAGAGTGGAATATTTCAAGCTTTTATTTGTATATTTTGATGATAATTGCTTGCAGATAATAAAACACAAAGTAATGTGTCTCAGAAGAATAAATAAGATCAAAAAAGGATATTTTAAACAGGAATCTCATGTTTCAAAAAAAAAAAAAAAAAAAAATTGATCTTTTGCACAAAAAATTGTATCAATGCAANCAGAAGAATAAATAAGATCAAAAAAGGATATTTTGAACAAGTTTTGATCTTAATGTAAAAAAAAAAAAAAAAAAAAAAAAAAGTTGATCTTTTGCACAAAAAATTGTATCAATGCAACCTGCCAAGGTGTTCCTCTTTATATGTAATGACTTTATATGAAACACAAGCTTCACCTTCTTCAGTGATCAAGAATATTAAACCTTTAAATATTTTAATTTGAGCTGCACCAATAAGAAAGCCCTCATTGTATAACCAGGGTTATCATATAATAATGTATTACGTTGTTGACTGACCTAATTCCTGAAGTTTAGGTTTGTTTGTTTTTTGTAACAGGAACAAAATCTCTGACAGAGAATAAAGCAAAATATATATATATATATATCAGGATTGCTTATTTTAAATGTTCCCTCCCCCTTTATCAGGACACTTTGTATCTGTACATGGTGTTCACTGAATAACTGAGATGTCCAGGTAGATCTCAATAAAATGTAAGATAATCTAAATGTTAATTGTTCCAGTAATTCAATTCAAAATGTAATTAAAAATAGAAAAAATATATGTCTGAACAAAAGTTGGATTTCAGGGAAATATAAGAAGTTTTTGAGGAGGAACAGGACAGACTGGGATGGCCAAATTTTACCTTTTGTTTTAACTTTCGTTACAAGCAAAGTCTGCCTAAAGACCAAACAATCTGGTCGATACTGTCTGTTAAGCTGACGTCAAGTTCCCAAAGAAGTTACCTGCAGAACACCTACTTCTGCAGAAGATAATCTGCAAGCAAACAGGCTCACAGTGATTTCAATAAAACAAGTTACCATGAATTCCAGTCAACAGCACAGAGAAGTAAAGGCATCCCTTTGCTCAGCAGGTAGAAACTACAATGGTTATTGTAAGGTAGTTTGGGTTAAATTGATTACATCAGAAAACATTTGTTCACTTTGAGCAATCAAGACTAATGAAAAATGACAAGCTAGAAGAATTAGTCGGAACGTCAATTTTTTCTTGAGCGCTTCCATCCAGAGCAGGATCAATCAGGGCTGAACATTCACCAGAGTTAAACGGAAGAAGAAAATAAATAAATCATTACACCTTCATCACTTAAATGTAACCAAAGGCATCAGAGACTAGATAATCCAACACAGATTACACCTTAGTTTTTTAAGGATCAGTTAATGAGCTTGATTGTTCACCGTCATGTGATATAATCAAAAAAGGTACTAAGCAGTATCTTGTGAAATTTTAAAGTGCAAATCCAAACACAAGCAAAGGCTTCTTAGCAAATGTGTGTTAGTGAGAACTACCCCCCCCCCCTTTAAGAAGTCAAAGTTCATTAACCAAACAAGTAAAAGAACAACCGCATCCTTTTATTGCCATTTCAGCATACATCCAACACCCCTAAGCGTTTTAGCTACATGAAGCATTTACATCGCACTCTGTGTGTCAACAGAACAGTTTTACAAATTAGGATTCATTTTTACTTTACATATAATACAGTTTTCACACATGTTAATAAATATCAGTACAATCAAACGTTTCACACGCCGTCTAAAACACCACTCTTTAAACCTCTGTAACCTTTTATCCGCAGCTCGGGTCGAGTATTTTTTAACAGCCTACCTGGATTTCCAAAAATCCGATGACTTTTGGTGCAAGTCGCACATTTTGCATTCTTCTTGCGCCCCTTTTTTTAAATGATTTGCATGTAGCAGATTGGTGATATTACAGTTAGACTTAAAAGTTTGGTTCCACCTTAAAAACAAAGGGGCTTAAAAACAACTTGAATGTGGAGAAGAAAACTTAGAAAGGCATCTAGTTCAAATATTCAGAACTACCCACATTATACTGTTGTGCAACTCTTTTGTAGTGTAAATATCACAGCAATCCCACTAACTGAGAGCACCCTGTGGCACAAAGTGACAGGAACGTCACAGACCTCTTATGGTATAACGAGATCCCACTGATAACACCGTTCCCTCTAACAGCCGTATCGGTCCTGCCTCCCACAGCAGGATCAATAGCCATCCAATATCAAACAAGTGTCGGTAAACTTTAACTGTCGGTGTGATTTAACAGCATCTCAAGGAGAAGCCCGGCATTATAGAGTCTGTGAAATGATTAAAGACATGCAGAGTTCCTCCGCTGTATGTGCCTGCAGCAGCATTACTGACACACAATGGCTATGGAGTGCAGGAGGGTTACGCATAAGTGCAGGATAATGAGATCCTGGCTCTCTCCTGTGAATGCAAAGAAAAAAAATGTTCATCTATTAAAAGCTAACAAAGACAAATGGATAAAAACTGAAAAAAAAAAAAAAAACTGTGGCAGGATTTGATGGATTCTCAGTGTTGACTCACTGAACGCATAAGAGGGGGGAAAAAAACTCCACCTTTCAGGGTTTATGTGTTTCATTAGGATGGAGAACTCTAGAGAAAAAGGCAGATGATGTCAGATTAAAGAGCCAGAATATGTCGCTCTGCAACACAACACACCTCTTTAGCTTCCTTTGCAGGAAGGATACGACCCTCACCTGCAGATAATGTGACTTTTAGCACATTTAGACACAAAAACTTTTTTTTTTTTTTTTTACATCAGCAGAACAGGACTGCATTTTCCCTTTTCTAGAGTCAAAAGAAAAGTTTCTACGTATTCTCCCTAGGGCCTCCTGCTTGAAAGGATCCACTTCAAGGCTGGGATGATAAACCTGTGAATATGTACTCAGCTCTCCTCCCACACAGAGGGAGAAGAACTAAACTGCAGTGATTAACTTGGACTGCCTTCAGGCAGGGGATCTGTAAACACTGCAGAATGCTTCAGTGACGGAGGCAGCCACGGTGCGTTTGCTGTGTTGGAAACATATTTACACATTCAGTGCTGTAGGTGTGACAGTTCTAGACCATTTTGCTTCAGTTTGTGTACAGATTGAGGAGTCAAAGCCATCTCTTTCACAACTCCGTGAGCGACGATGTCTCAGTTTTCAGGCCCAGTTGAGGTTGAATCCTTTGGAAAGCATGACAGCTTCGAGGTCCTTGTCTTCCTCCTTTTCACGAAGTCTCTGTTCCTCCAGGAGGGCGACCAGGGCGTCCCGCTGCTCAACCACCTCCAACATTTCATTCAAGATCTGCTTTTCCTGAGCGAGCTCTTTCTCTGATTTCAGGTGGTCTGAGGAGAGCACAGAGCAACAGGAGTAGGGATGAAAGGAGTTAGAGTCATCGCTGCAAACCAAACTGACACTTCTCAAATTCAAACACCGTCTGACAGATCTATATATATCATTACATGGGAAATATTCTACATCCTCACAGTTCTATTAAATCATCTTTGAATGACTTTGAGTTGAGGTAAAGAAAATATTAACACTTGAATCTATTAGAAAATTGTTTCAGTTTGACAGTGTGTTTATTTGTTAGGTATTATTTCAGTGTGCCTCCCTAAAATACCTCAGCAGGGAAGTAATCCTTCAGAGAAGAGCAAACAATGATTATGGTAACAGTTGGAGGGAATGGGAGAAATCAGATTTAACTCTTGTATTACAGACAGAGCCCTTTCAGCTGATAGGCATTAATATATTCACCTTCCACAGCCATTCGCTCCCTGAGCTCCTGCTGCAGGCGACTCTGGCGGTCCTCCAGCTCCAGCTCTCTGGCACTGGAAGACAGAACAAGAGGAGGAGAAAATAAGTTGGACAAAAATAAATCCACGAACACTTTAGAAGAACATGCATTTGATCAGTGTAGGGTTTGTTTTGTGAATCAGAAATTATTTTATTAATTTTTTTTATTTAGTACAAATTAAACTTGAAAAGTGTGGTGAGAATTGGTATTCAGTCATTTGGTTTCAATACTCTGCAGAACCACCTCTCAGATCTCGACTATCAGCTTTGAACATCTACAAACTGAAATTCTTCTTTCAAACAAGCTCAAACTCAGTCAGATTGCATGAAGAACATCTGTGAAGAACAATCTTTAAACCAGAATCTTAGGTGGACTTTGGTCTGGACTTTGACTAGGACATTCTAACATATGAACTTACTTTGATGTAAACCTTCTGTTCTGTCACTGTATGCATTTTTATGGTTGTTGTGAAAGGTGAACCTCCTCCTTTGACTCAGGATTCCTGGAGCTTCTAAAAGTTCCTAGAACCTGACTCCACAAGTTTGCTTTGTCTTTTCTCCTTTAAACTAGACAAGCAAATCAGCTCAGTTGTCCAAACTATCTTTATCCAGTTGCTCCTTTTAAGCAAAATAAATTCCCTCAAACGAACTGGAAAAAGCAATACATGCCTTCATCAGCACTTGTTTATATCAGTGTAATGCCTTATACTGTGGTTTGGACCAAGTGTCCATAAACAGGCTGCAAATTGTCCGGAACACAGCAGCCCGTTTGCTGACCGGCACCAGACGTCTGCACTGGCTCCCTGTTTGCCACCAAATCCACTTCCAAGATCCTTTTTGATTGTTTTTAAATGCTTAAATGGCATGGCAGCTTTATATCTGTCTGATGTGCCCAAAACGTGCATGAAAACTAGAGGAGACAGAGCTTTTGCTGCTGCCGCCCCCCGAAAGTGGAACGGTCTGCCTCGCTTGGCTCCAACTCTTTGCCGTTTTAAATCCTCCCTTAAAACCTACCTGTCTGCACAGGCTGTTTCTTATTTTAGAGTTTTTACAGTTTCTTATATGTATTTTCGACTTCTTTGTTCTTGACACTATAGTTTATTATGCCTTATTTCAATTGTATTCCTTGCTTTTATATGTTTACTGTAAAGCACTTTGGGCAGCAGGGTTTTCTTTGTAAATGTACTATACAAATAAAGTTGACTTTGACCTGTGAGAAGTGAGAAGAACAATGGCTTCCTTTTGGCCAAGATTCTATAAAGGCACAACTAAAAGGATTATCTTTCCTGAACAGTGGAGCTCCACATCTCCTCCAAGGGAATCAATCGGCTGCTTCTTAAAATAACGGGGAGATGTTGGAAAACTGATTTAGAACCTAACCTGCTTTAAAGGGAACCAGAACCATCACCCAGGCCGTCAGCTGTGCTGCATGATGCTGCTCGTTCACTATAGCAGGGTTTATACAGGAAGGAGGAACTCTAATTTAATGCTTTTTAATGCTCTTTTAATGTTCTTAGAATTTTAATGCCATCAACAAGTACCCATTACTCTCATATATATATATATATATATA